GGCAATCAGGCCGATGGGGGGAGGGCAGTTGGGGGCGAGCAGGCTGACAGGCAGAGTGGTTAGGGGTGATCAGGCAGGCAGGCAGGTGAGCGGTTAGGAGCCAGCGGTCCTGGATTGTGAGAGGGATGTCTGACTGCCGGTTTAGGCCCGATACCCGAACCGGCAGTCGGACATCCCCTGAGGGGGTCCCGGATTGGAGAGGGTGCAGGCCAGGCTGAGGGACGCCCCCTCCCCCCGCACAAATTTCATGCACCGGGCCACTAGTATATAATAATGTAGTATGACCATAATGACCTTTTGGTTTAGGTATTCTGCTTAATTATTGTAATGATGGCCATGCATTATACTAACTATATGATTTCTTTCCCTAGAAAAAATGGCTGAAATTCCCAAAGAAATCTCAAGGGTATATTGAGAGGTCTTGACCCTGCTACTTTTCATGTCTTCTGATAAATGGGCTTATTTTGTGTCTGAACTTGTCCTTTTAGACATTATACCCTCCAGGAAAATGCTGAATCACCTGATCCTATAGCCTTACTTTGCAACTAATATTAGCAGGATAAAAACTATACAGTATGAAACTCACAGGCTATATTCCATTTGCCTCCACGAAGTTGGTATAACTCAACAGTATTGCTTACAATTACCTTACTATGAGTTCCTAAGATAGGTTATCTGAATTGCATATTGGCCTTTGTTGCTGACTGCCCTACTTATTCCTAAACATATTTTGTTTTTCTTATCCTAAAGGTAACAACTATGTCTTTTAGTCATTATATTATCGCCCAAGTACTACTATCTCAAGGTCTTACACTTGGGACACATTTTTACCCAAAATTCCAGTTAGAAATGTATCCTTAAATAGCTAGGGAAATAACCAGATATATACATAAGAATATTCAACCAAAAATCATTTATGATAACCAAGAATTAGAAACTATGTAATACTGGGCAAAAGGCTTAATAAATTATGGCCCATTCTACCTTCACGGTTGTGAAGGTAATGGGCCACATTAATTGATGAAGAAAGACATACATAGTCAATTTCTTAGTGAGGCAAGCACGTTTATTAAAAGATACATAAGGTGTGAAGTGTATGGGAAATTAAGATAAAGACTCTGATGTCAAACTTGAACTTGATGGTTACCAATTTCTCCACACCTCTTGAGAAATTCAATAAAAGAGGGGTAAAAAGTGTCTACCACGGATGGTTGCATTGAAGATTAAATAAGAAAGACCACATAAAATGGTGTACGATCATTGCTTAATATAAGTTTTAGCCATTACTAGTGAAAATTAAAAAGATTACTTATCCCTTATTACATTGTAATAATGTGAGAAAGTTAATGCAAGAAAATCAATACCATTCTTGTAATTTTTCTCATGATAAAATCTGTGCTTCTCAGGCCTGCTTTCTTACATTCCTAAATCACACAGCCCAGCCCTAAGCCTGCTGTTCTTCCTAAATAACAAGATGAGCAAAGCAGGCTCTTAAAAAGATACAAAAAAAAAATATTCCCTCTTTCCAAGAAGCTGCAGATGAAGAGACAAATTAGGTACTGCAAAGCTGGCTCAGAAAATATAACCCAATGAGGTGTCAATCTGGGAACATTAACCAGAGGCTCAATCGGGTTGTTCTGTGCAAATTGGTGGCTTATTTGAATATTTAAAACTATAACCCTCCTTATTTTACCTCCTGGTATTAATAAAATAGATTTTTGTAAGACATTAGAGATTACTGCTATTCTCTGTGAAAGTAACCTTTAAGTTCATCTTCATTGCTCTGGTAATCAATTTCTAAATAGCATTTCTATACTATTCCTAAAAGCTGTAAATACTTGAAAATTTTCAAATGAAAGAATCACTGGCATTTCCCTCCTCTTTCTACATACTCAAGATTAAATAAAGATGAAAATAAAAGCCATGTCTGGAGGTTATTTAATGGCTAAAATGTATTTTAAGCAATTATTGTACACCATTGTATATGATTTTTCTTACTTAATCTTCAGTGCAACCACCTGTTACACTTCTTACCCCTCTTTTATTTCATTTCCAACCAAAAGCTAGAGAGTCTTCAAATCAATTATATCACCATAATGTGACTTTATTCTGCAGAAACAAAACCAGACACACAGTCTTGTAGGAAAATAAACAAGCAAAACACACACACTGGAATACTAAGAATGAGTAGAAGGATATAATTTTTACTTCATTCTCTATATGTTTCCTGCATTAATCAATTGTTTTGTCACAAACCTGTATTAATTCCATAATCAAATGTAAAATATTGCAGTCATTAAGAAAACTAAACAAAAAGCCCAACACTGCCAGAACCGGTTTGGCTCAGTGGATAGAGCGTCGGCCTGCGGACTGAAAGGTCCCAGGTTCGATTCCGGTCAAGGGCATGTATCTGCGTTGCGGGCACATCCCCAGTAGGAGGTGTGCAGGAGGCAGCTGATCGATGTTTCTCTCTCATTGATGTTTCTGACTCTCTATCTCTCTCCCTTCCTCTCTGTAAAAAATCAATAAAATATATTAAAAAAAAAAAAAAAAAGCCCAACACTGAAAATCAGTGGGCCTGAAACAAATTACACCTACCAGCTCTTGAACATCCCGGGGCTGTAGCTCATCACTACAATGAGACACTTTCACTGTCAAGATTCTCCGGTCAATGAACACGAATTATGTAAGTCACCTTCAAAGTCTGAGGAAGAAAATATATACACATAAGCAGAAAGACAACAAAAACATACGTGTTTGGTACAAAGCAGATGCTGGACAAGTGTGGCTACACCTAACTTCTTCACTGAATGAATGATGAAAACATTTTGGATACGATCCTTGAAAAACGTCTTTCAAAATCCTGTCTTTTCTAATGGAATTCACATAGCGCTCCTAATATTCTTGAGTACTTTTGTTCATAGCTATAACTTTTGCTTAATATTATCATTTACATTTTTTCTTCTTTTGATTCTTTATAAACATAATTTTTATTAGGTGAATATTATTATACCACAGGAAATACTGAAATTTACCTGTTTCCATTATCACTGGATACTAATTTTCTACAAGTTCCTTCCTAGCTCTTATACCTTTTTATTCCAGGCCAATGGAGCTAGATATTTTTTAACTTCATTAAGTTATAGACATTGTGCCCACTTTAAAAATTTACAAATATTTGCCAAAATTATGTCTCAATTTCAAACTGTTTGTGGTCATCTGGAATAAGACCTGCGGTAAAGACCTCTTTCCTCCTTCTATTACCTTACCATTTGAGCATCTGGTCACATTTTTAAACTTGCAAGTATCCACCACAATCATCTTCATATTTCTCTTCATATGTTGATCTATAAGGAGTTGATTGGGAAAGATCCAGAATCACCACATAACAGCAGCTCTTAATATTTACCAAGCCGGTATCACGGGGCAGGCACTGTTCTAAGGAGCTTGACACATATTAGCTCACCTCACATCATTACAACCCCATAAGGTAGGTATTTTTTAGTCCTGATTTTGTCGATGTGGCACATAGAGCCAGAATCATTTGTCTAAGCTCACGCAGCTAGAACAGCAGAGCCACGATGTGAATCCAGGTGCTCTAGATCCAGAGCCTGACTCTTAACCACACACAGTACTGCCTGCCTCTCACAGCCTACACAAAGTTGGACCTGAGCCCTAACTGCTTTGGCTTAATGGATAGAGCGTCGGCCTGAGGACTGAAGGGTCCCAGGTTCGATTCGGTCAAGGGCATGTACCTTGGGTTGCAGGCACATCCCCAGTAGGGGTTGTGCCGGGGGCAGCTGATTGATGTTTCTCTCTCATCGATGTTTCTAATTGTCTATCCCTCTCCCTTACTCTCTGTAAAAAACCAATAAAATATATATTAAAAAAGAAAAGTTGGACCTGAAACAATTTATGCTTAGCAATGTTACAGATTTCTACTAAAAGATTATCTGAAAGTCTCTTTCTCTTGTTGGTGCACACTGCAAACCCCTATGCTCAAAGCTCAAAGCATATCACTGCTCCTAAAGGCATCACACCATGGAAAATTTTTTTAAAATATATTTTTATTGATTTCAGAGAGGAAGGGAAAGGAAGAGAGAGATAGAAGTATCGATGATGAGAGAGAAACATTGATAGGCTGCCTCCTGTACAACCTCTGCTGGGGATCAAGCCCACAACCTGGGCATGTGCCTGACAGGGATTTGAACTGTGACCTCCTGGTTCCTAGGTCAATCCTCAACCACTGAGCCACACTGGCTGGGCACAAACATTGGAATTTATTAACTGAAACTAACAATTCCCTCTTCCCTTGCCTTGAGCTTTGAAAATCACGACTGTGGAAAAGATAAAAAATAGTTTATCTACCTGAATACTAACCTCTCCAAGTAATCATAAGCTAAAATAAAGCTCTAACAGTTATCTCCACGAGGTATATTTCTTTTTTGTTTGTTCCTTTTTTTTTTTTTTGTTAATCCTCACCCGAGGATACTTTCCCATTGATTTTTGGAGAGAGTGGAAGGGAGAGAGAGAGAGACAGAGAGAGAAAAACATAATGTGAGAGAGACACATTAATTGGTTGCCTCTCACATGTGCCCCGATAGGGCTGGGGATCAAGTCTGCAGCCGAGGTACGAGCCGTTGACTGGAATCGAACCTGGGACCCTTCAGTCTGAGGGCCCACACTCTGTCCACTGAGCAAAACCAGCTAGGGCTCCAGGAGGTGTATTTCAATGCCATCAGAACACTTAGAAAGGGAGAATGCACTGAAGGATTTGAACAATTCACCATGTGAACAGATGGCCATTAGCTGAAGAAAAGGACACTATGGGACCACTGGGAAGGGGGGTGCACCAGCGTGTGGGTCCCTCGCCAGAAGGAAGACCCATGAGAGACCCTACTAGTCAAGACATTTCAGGCCAAGGAAAGCAAATATTCTCATGATCTAAAAGCAAAAGTAATTGAATGACTATAAAAGAAACACAAACCCACCTCAACTTCAATTCCCAGATATCCAACTATTCTTTCCTCCTCCTCAGGGTCCTTCTTAGAAACCTGACAGCAGTGGGAGGGAAGAGGAATCATTTGACACCAGCATTTCTTGGAGCAGACAGAGTTAAATTAAAAATGGAAAACAGAACCAAAACAGCCCCTAGGACCACATCTGCTTTCATCCACATATAAGCAAGTCGAATTTAAAGGGAGGCTGGACTCTATCTGAGTTGACAGCAATTCTTGGGAACTGAGGCTCGGAAGCATGTAGCTGGCCCCCAAGGAGCAACGAGGGGTGCCTCCTCTAGGAACCCTACCTGGGACACCCCTCCCCTCATGTCTTCCTGGGAGCCTGTCACGAGGACACCTCCAGATGTAAAGTACTCATCCCAAGTCTACTTCCTGCTTGACACGTTCAGGCTGGGGCTTAGTGCAGGGCTTCTTTTCTTGGGGTCATTTAACTTTTCAGGACCTGAGAGTCTAGACCAAGCATGTCAAACTCACGGCCCGCGGACCGCATGCAGCCCACAATGAATATTTTTGTGGCCCAGCCAATATAACGGTATGTAAGAAACATTTTAATAAAAATTTCATAACCTAATTTTTACAATATCCTGTTATATATAATCCTATATAATAAAGAGGTAATATGAAAATTAACCCTCACGCCCTCACAAATGGCTGCCTACGACCAGGCTGGCAGGGGGGTTAGTGAGGGACGACCAAATGACTGAACAGCAGGCTGCGTGGGGCGACCAGGCC